ATATTTAGTACTATTAGCGGTTACTATGGGCCATGAATTATTTTGAATGTTAGTTTTCTCTCTGCTTTGCACGGGTAGCAGACACTCCCTGATGAGGGCTTTGATTGCTAGTATTTAAGGAATGATTACAGGCTTGACATTTTACTATGAACGATTAGAAGTTGAATAAGGCATCATACTGCTTTCTGAGCTGGTCTATAGACATATTTGCAAAATTAGTCAAAGTTTTCCTTGGAAAATGGTTTTGAATCTCTCTTTAGTTGAAACCCAAAAGATCCAGATTATGGAGCAGAGAAGATATGGACATATTTCCCTGGAAATATTCCCAACCACAAGCTACCATCAACATAGTCACAGAAAAGTCTTGTCAACTTTCTTAGCCACAGAAAATTCTCACTAAACTGTTTGTGATGTCTGGGCAACAATATTGTACAACCTTGTTTGCCTGTTAGAATGAGTTAGGTTTAAAAGTGTAGTCCTGACAGCCATTGAATTGGTATACTCTATCGAGGTACATGAATCAGATAGATTCTAGACATAGTCTGCCCTCTTTTGATCTAATTTATTTTGACCCATCTTTCTGATATGAGTTAGATACCAACATTTACAGAGGCCCCTTCTGGTTCTTTCAAAGACCTAAGCAGTGGCATCAAAGGCCCTACATGACTTGGCCCCCATTTTGTTTCCAGCTCTTGTTTGACTTACATAACTCCAGACTCACCGGAGACCTTGTTATTCACGGAACATACCAGGCATATTCCTGTCTCAGAGCCTTTGCACGATCCACTTTCCTCCCTGTGACACTATTGCTCCCTTACCTCCTTCAAGTCTTTGTTTAAATGTCATCTGCATGGAGAGGCATACCCTGACCACCATATTTAATGTAGTAACTTCCATTACCACCCCATTCCCAGTATCCTGCTTCATTGTTTGCCATAGTACATATCACTTCTTAACGTGGTATATTTTTACTTATATATTGATTCAAATTTTTATACTATCCTTAGATGTTATTTGTCTCCTTCCACTAACATAGAGGTCTCATGCTTCCCATCTCTTTGCTTCTCATCTCTGTCTCAGCACCTCAAAAGTGACTAGCATATAGTATATGTTCACTAAACACTTGTGGAGTGAAGAAGAGCCATTAAATATTAGAAGCTCTATATGATAGGTCCACACCTACCTTGATCACTTACTTCCATGGGCTTTGTGTTTTTTTTAGTGCTGGGAATATAGATGGTGCTCAATAAATACCTGTTGGTTGGATGAATACATAAATTTCATCTAAAAGCCAACAGAACATTTGGGTATAAATAAAGAGAAGGGAAGCAAAAAATATTTTCCTGTCTAATACCACTTGAAATGTGTGGTCTGTCAGAAAATTGCTTCTCTCACCATGGTTCTTATAGAGCTAGGAGGCAGGTTTTGCTAAAACATTAATAATCAAGGGGGCTAATAAACTGATACTTTGGTTGTAGCTCATTCTCTTTTACAGAGTCAAATACAGAAGATAGACCATTGAAATCCACCAAAAATTTTATATTCTTCAAATTAGGTTTCCCCATGAGGAGACTAATGTAATAATTCTCAGTAATGTTATACTTGATCCTGAAGCCCGTCCACTTATTTAACATTTTGAATAAAGAGATTCAGAGCTGCTGTTTGTTAAGGAGAAGGTGAGCATATTTCTATGGAATATCCAGTTTGAAAAGGAAAAGGGTTGCCACTCTTGCAAATGGAGTGCATTATTCTGTGAGGACACCCAAAAGCAATTAATTATGCTGGTGGTGGAAGAGCTCTCATTATGCTCATTTGCTATGCATAGTAACCTGAACAAATTATGCTAAAATTTGAGTCAGTTTTCATAAAGCTAGAAGTAATAAGACTGAACATGTCCAGATATGCAGATTCCATGATCTCTTCTATTATAGTCACCAGATCCAATTCTGTCATCATTATTAGCACCTCTCAGCTCATCGAATCTCTGAATCCTGGGACATCCTTTCTTCAGCCCCTCCCCTGGGTGCTTCACTGGCCATTTGGACTGGTTCTCTGAGTCAGTGTTCTGAGTATTGCCCAAAGGTCAGAAGAGATACAAGAGGCCCCGACAGGGAGTAGGAGAGCGAGCTGTGTAGGGAGGTGGATAGGATATGTTTGGCACCCCAAAGGCATTTTCCCACAGAAAGTTTGTTATACATAATTGCTAGATTCCTCTATAGCAGTGGTGTTCAACTTTTTTTTTAATCTCATGGCACACATAAACTAATTACTAAACTTCTGTGGCACACCAAAAATATATTTTTTCGCCGATATAATGAAAATATAATTTTGATTTATTCACACTGGACAGCTATTGTCTTGTTGGCTGTTGTAATTTCTTTTTTTATACAATCTAAAGTAAAATAGGTCAGTGCTCCTAACTAAATAGTTATGTACTGTATGTTTTAAAAATTCTTGCAGCACACTAGTTGAAAATCACTGCTCTATAATAACATCATTAAACTATTTGGATGCTATCACTAAAAATATTTTTATGGGTTGATTTTGCCACTGAATTCCTCATATATTATCTCTCTCAAAAATATGTTCTAAGTACCAATAATTCATTCATAGTTTGAAGATTGTCACTACTATTAACATCTTAAATACCTATCTGGTAGAATCACTTGAACTAAATATACTTCTCATATTTATACTGCCCCAATTTGTAAGGGATTATCTGAAATTAAAAAACAAACAAACACAAAAACCTTTTCCATCCTATCTCCCTAGTTTCAGTCTCATCTTTCTAATTGCCAGGTAGGCAACTCAATCTTCATGACTTTCTCAGATTCAATGAGTACAAATCCAAATTTATAATCTCCTTCTGTAGTCTTATCCCTAAGAAAAACCAGTATCTATTTCTTAATGCACTGTTGTTGTGAACTCTATCAGCATTCTCCTAGTATTAATACATGAGTTACCTTTTACTACTTCCTCTATCTCAGTTTGTGTGCACATCTAGCTTATAAGTTCTTTTTAAATGTTCTAAATAACTCTGGAATTCATATCTACCTCTCAATACTTACTGTCACTATTCTAGATTAGAGGCTCATCATATCTCACCTGGTTTTGGGGAAGTAGTCTACCTGGACTCAATGCTTCAGAGCAAGTACCTTTTTCAGAGTTGCCCGAGTTTTCTCAAAACCCCACAGTGGCTTCCCATTGTTTAAAGAATGAACTTCAAATTCCCTAACATAATAAGCAACTGCTCCTTAACTTAGTTCCCAAACTACTATTTAAAGCTTGTTCCCAACTATATTCCTCAAGGAACACTGATCTCTCTGTGACTTCTCTATTCCTTGAATTTAGACATTCTGAATCTTTTCTGTACCATGGATTCCTTTGGCCATCTGATGAAGTGCTTGGATCCCTTTCCTAGAGGAATATTTTTTAATGTATAAAATAATAAACATAAGATTACCAAAGAAAGCAATTGTACAGTGATACAATTCTGTCTGTCTGTGGACCCTGTTGTTTATGTCATTGTGGCTTTGCTTATGATCCTCTTTCCATAAAAGTGCCCCTAAACCTACTCTTCTGATTATCAAAATCCTTCTCATCTTTCAAAGTCTATTCAATTCCCATTTCCTCTGTGCAACTTTACCTTTACTTCCTGCTCCATCTGTATTCACTACTTTGCCCTTTGCCCTCTCATAGATTATTTGTATTTCTAATTACTTCTTATCTTTACTTTGCCTTTTATTATAAAACACTGTATTAAATGACAATGATGGGCCAGACACTATACTGGCCAATTTTGCATGTTTTGTCTTCATATTTCTCTTTCTCTTTTAAAACACTATAAAGTATGTATATGAGGAGGAAACTGAGATACAGAAATTTTGTTGTTTGACCAAGATCACACAACTTCCTCCTTTTATAATTATTTGAGGAAAGTAATATTTTATCTTCTTCTGTATACCTTCTCAGGATCTATAGAATAATGTTTAGTAATATTTGCTTATGTGGATTTAAAAGTGAGAAATACTGTAAAATACTTACTTCCCAAAATTTAATGTCTCTAGAATCTAATAGGGAGCATAGGAGGACAGAGATGTGTACAACTGTGTTCCTAGGTCAGAGTCTATGCCAATTAACTGGGATGAAATACTTCTTAACATTCTATAATCCCTTCTAATATCTAGTGATTTCACAAATTGAAAACCTACATCCCACATATGAAATCATATGGTTCCTAGCATTTTCTGGCTGATGGAAGATGATTTGACTTTGGGTGGTGGGCACACAATGCAATAAACAGATCATGTATCATAGAAATGTACACTTGAAACCTATATGATCTTATTAACCAGTGTCACTCAATAAATTAAATAAAAAAGAGAAAACTTATACAGGGTTTTCATTAGTCAATTCCTTAAAATATTATTTCTTGTTTTGCATTCTTGATTAAAAAACAATAATAAAAGTAGAGTAAATTAAATAATTTGTTTGTAATCATAATAAATCCAGTAAATGTTTACATTTGTAATAATAAGATCAGTTGTATAACTTATTTACTATGCTACCCGCTCAGTGAAAACAATAAAATGAGCCCAATTTACATTCATATTACAATATGTTTTGAATCTAATTACTTTGTGCTAGTTTCACTTTTCTGTAATCATATGTGTTTTATAAGTTTTCTTAAATCAACATCGTTAGGCTATCTATTTTAGAATAAAAATAAAGATTTATTTTAGCAATGCTTTCCTTTCAATATTATTTTCAGTTTAAAAACCATGTATCTATGATAATCAATTTCTAATGTGAAAGTTCTTCATGTATAGTAATTTTAAAAGAATTATATGTTTTTATTCAACAACACCTTTAGCATGCTGTGAACTATAAATTAATGCATAATTAATTCATTATGACTATCCATTTTTCATGACTTCTCTATTATTGCACTGTAGCAAATACTCAGACGTAGATGAGTAAATGGTTTTCTATTTTTGCAGCTCCAGAGGGTCCTCCTGAAAATGTGTATGTAGTAGCAACATCACCTTTTAGCATCAACATCAGCTGGAGTGAACCTGCTATCATTACTGGACCAACGTTCTATCTGATAGATGTTGAATCGGTAAGGCTTGTCTTGCCTTCTGCAAAAGGCAATGGAGAGCATGGAAATGAACAAACAAGAAAATCAAATAAAACGAAAACTCATAGACAGCAACATAAGTATGGTGGTTAGCAGAATGAAGGGGGATGGGAGAGTCATAAAGGGTTAAGGGGGTCAGATATATGGTGACAAAAGAAGATTTGACTTCAGGTGGTGGGAGCACAATGCAATATACAGATGATGTATCAAATTTGTATACTTGAAACATATATCATCTTATTAACCACTAGAGGCCCTGTACATGAATTCATGCACAAATGGGGTCCCTCCCTGCGAATCAGGGCTGTCTCACCAATCCTGATGGGGGCCAATTGGGGCTGGCTGGCCGGGGGGAGGAGGAGGTACCGCTGGAGGTTGGCTGGCCGCAGGAGGTTGGCTGTGGGAGCGCACAGAACACCAGGGGGAAGCTCCTGCATTGAGCATCTTCCCCCTGGTGGTCACTGCGCATCATAGCTACCAGCCGGTTGTCCGGCTGTCTGGTTGTAATGGTTGTTATGGTCATTTAGGCTTTTATATATATACTAGAGGCCCGGTGCATGAAAATTCATGCACTGGAAGGGGGGGGGTCCCTCAGGCCGGCCTGCTCCCTCTCACAGTCGGGAAACCCTCAGGGGTGGGAGGCGACCCAGCGATCAGGGGAAGATGACGCCCCATCACACCTTTGCTGCTGCCACTGCTGGCAGTGCAAGCCTCAGTTGGCCCTGATTACCTGAGCCTTGGGCAGCCCTGGGTGGCTGGGGGGCTGAGGGGACTAGGAGACTCTGGAGGCAGGCAGAGCTGAGGGGACTGGGCGCTGCCATCTTATTGCTGTGGGCGCCACCATCTTTGAGGGTGGGACAGTCAATTAGCATATTCCCTCCTTATTGGCTGTGGGTGCCACCATCTTTGTGATGGTGTGCAGGTCAATTAGCATATTCCCTCTTTATTATATAGGATAGATGGTTACTCCAATAAGTTTAATTAAAAAAGGGGGGAAAGGGACACAGATTTTGGAACCAAACTATTTACATTTTAATTCTAGCTCAAGTATACCTTAGGTAACTTAACCTGTGTTTCAGTATTCACATCTGTAAAATAAAGATTAATAATAGATTAATAATAGATGATATTTAGGGTACAGAAATTGTGTGAAGACTAAGCAGTTAATATGCATAAAGAACTTAAAACATTGCCTGGCATATAGTAAGTACTCAATACATGCAAAGAATAATAACATAGTTATTATTACATTGGTCCTCAGGATATACATGATGTATATAAACAGGTGGTTAAATTGGTAACACACTAGTTAAAATACAGTGAAAAAGAACTCATTGTACCAAATGAGAAGGGAGAAGGGCATTAGGAGAAATATATCCTAAATACATAATATCAGAGCTTAATATTATCTCCTCATTTGCATTACCACACCTTATCTAACAATATTTTGATGTAAATATTACTATCTTCATTCTGCATAAAGGTGAACTGAGACAGACATGATAAATAATTTCCCACATAACTGAGACTAGGCTAAGACCAGCAGACAATGGTATGATAGGATAAATGGAAAGCCATTAAATATCAATTAAAATTTTCCAAATTGAAATATGAACTCACCAAAACCACTTCGGATCAAGGATAGCAAGAATTCAAACAGATTCTAGCACTTCACAGTTTCCCTGGGATTCTTGGACTCAAGTAGTCATTTAGTTCCTTCTTCCCTTCATTAATCCAACACAAATTCTTAAGTAAATCCAACATGCCCGCATTGTTCTAGGGTTTGGATAGGTAGAAGTGAACAAGTCAGAAGTGGTCACTGTCTTTATAGAGCTTATCTGCAGTTCATTTCATGAATATATAACTATCTACATTCAAGAATCATTAGTTCCTAGACCCATGAAGAACACATTTCATTGAATTTTGCACTCCTGGTACTGCCTGAATTTTGCCAAATACTAGCCACAAGGACATACAAGTCTTCCTATATAAGACTAAAATTAAGCCAAAATTGACATCTTAAAATATATATTTATGGGCACCAATATCATCCTGGATGATTGTACTGGAAATTAATGCATTTTGTAGTCATTTTTTATTGTAATATTTACTTTTTTAAAATTAAAAAATATATTTATTGAGCAGCCTCTATTTTCCAAAACAAAGATGGAAAATAAAGTTTTGTTCTCAAGTAGCTCACACTGTAGTGGGAGACACTAGAATATAAACAGCTAATTATAAAGTGTGATATATGCAGGTTTTTTTAAAAATAAAATCTAAGTAATTAAAGCTTCTGTTAGGGGAGACATGGGATAAAGACAAGACTTCACAGAGCAGGTTAAATTTATTCTGAGACTTGAGGCATGAATAAGGGTTTACCAAATTGGAAGGGTGGAGGTGGGAGAGAAAAAGGAGAGAAGTGAACCAGCCCAGCTACTGATACTATATATACAAACTACCACACTTCATAAATAAATAACAATGTTTCATAATAATAATAGGTGATCAAATATAATATGAGCAAACAACCTTGGCACTAACTGAAGGGAAATGCTAGTCAAAAAGGTCTGAGCTATTGGTCCTGGGTAAGTGAACAAATAATGGTTAATAGTAACAAAGATAAAGTAGGTTTAGTAAAGAAAGATAATAAATCTTATATAAGCTGTATTCGAAGGCCTAGCATTCTTTTTGGATTTTATTAAAATTTATTTAAGATATAGTAGGTCACATACATGCTGTGTCATATTTTTACTTCTCGATATGTGTTATCCATTGTTTTCATGGATGGCCTTGGAATAGTTTCATTGTACCTTATAAGATCATTCCCAGTGAACTTATGATAGTGTAGACAGTTCTGGACTATTGAAACAACTGACTGTAAATCCTGTCAGCTACTTAATTGTTATGGAATCTTGAGGAATTCACCTCAACTCTATAAAATCAGAGTTCAAGTGGCCACAGTATGTAGTCAGGCAATAACATAAATGAGCAGTCAAAGGGAAGCCAACTGGATGGGGCAGTGATGCATTGGAGACCCGTAGCTCTTTACAGAAACTGACTATCATTCAGACCTAGATCATTGTTACTCAGCGTGAATATAAGCCTCGTCCTAAGGAAAATTTTAAAAGCCCGATGTTCCGATGATATTTAAATATTGACAACAAATTAAATACACTTTCTATCAGGAGGAATGGGTACCTCATCAATTGGATTTCTAGGCTAATTTCTTTTTCTGCCATTTTAGAGCAGTGGAACTTTTCCTTCCTCTGCTGTCTTGAGGTAGGAACAATCTACCTGACTTTTTTTCTATGCTGATATTATTTATCAGCCTTTTATTGTGTTTCTCATAGCAACATTAGATTAGGTTAAGGGAGGCCTTAGAAAAGACTATTTGAAGACCATATACTGAACAAAAAGCCATCTTTCAAAGTTACCAGGGAGGGTGAAGTTGAGAATGAACTTAATACTGCGAACAGTGTGTATAATTTGTTTTAGAGTTTTTCAAAATCATGTGCCTGAGAGGAGCATGCAAAATAAGATTTTAAATTTTCTGATGTTCACCTCAGGAAAAGCCCTTCCTTACTGCTAGAAACTTAGACTTTCCATCAAAGATAAACCATATTTAAATAAATCATAAACCTACATTGAGTACACCAAAAGGTATGCATTTGTGCATATTTAATAATTATGACATCCACAATTGAGTTCTTATCCAGTGTCAGCTCAGAGTTTTTCAAACTGCAATCAAGACCAGCATTTTAAAATTAATTGGAATAAAATTAGAGCAGAAAAGACCAAGTGTATTTCAAAAAGGAGTTGAATTTCTGAAAATAGTTTTTCAGGTATAAATAAGTATATATATATATATATGAGTGCACATATAAATACTTCTTTATACCTGAAAAATGATTTTATGAGTTATGGTATGAAAAATGATATCCTGAATTATGTTACAAAATGTGTTTCCTTTGTGTGAGTCTGGTATTAAAATAAAACAAAATACTTCAGATCTATTTTTTCTAAATTTCAACAAAGCACTATAAACACATATTATCACCCATTTCAATACACAGAAAGTAAGACACAGAGCGTAAGTGAGTTGACAAATACGATGTAGGAGCTATTAAGTGACTAAGTTGGGGTTTGAACCTTTGATGGTTGGGTACCAAAACCTATATTTTTCTCTATAAAACATTAGAGTAGGAAGTAGTGTTTCATCGACTGCAGAGATGATTTTGGCTTGATTTTGATAATTTTCGATGGGTGAATTGCTTTTTCTTTTACTTTTAATTATTGAAATAATTGCTAATTATTAAACTATTAAAGTAACACTTTAGATTCCCCAGGACAATCTGTTTAAAGAAATACAGTTGTCCCTTGAACAACATGGAGGTTAGGGGCACCGACCCCCACACAGTTGAAAATATGCATATAACATTTGGCTCCACCAAAACTTGTTATTCCTCAGTATCCACAGGGATTGGTTCCAGGACCACCTGTGGACACCAACATCCTCATATAGTCAAGTTGCCTACATCAATGCATATAGTCAGCAAGCTGCATCTGTAGACTTCTAACTGCAGATTGAAAACAGTACAAATATTCATTGAGAAAATCTGCATATATTTGGATCCATGCAGTTCGAGCCTGTGTTGTTCAAGGTCAACTCTAATTTAAATCTTGACTAGATAAATATACCACATGTAGCTTTGCACTATTATACTTTAGTGATTTGTATCTCAAGTGCTGCTTTCTTTCATTGTCAGCGATTTTTTTTCTTATAGGTAGATAGTGATGAATTTAATATTTCCTTAATCAAGTCAAATGAAGAGAATAAAACCATAGAAATTAAAGATTTAAAAATATTCACAAGGTATTCTGTGGTGATCACTGCATTCACTGGAAATGTTAGTGCGGCTTATGTAGAAGGAAAGTCAAGTGCTGAAGTGATTGTTACTACTTTAGAATCAGGTAAGGCATATTTTTTATCATTGCTAAAAACTGGACCTCCTTAGGTATTTTTCTTACAGTTTATCACACCCCACCCTAAAAAGGGTATGTATTATCAAATTTGAATGCATATAAATATAATATTCAGTGATTTACTGTGATTGACAAAAGTGAAGCTTTCTGTTTTTTTGAGGCAAAGTGGAATTATGCAGAATAGCCAATCCTTGTAAATACAAAAAAAACCCCACAAATTAGTTCATAATAAGCACAATTTTTGCATTTATTTAAACACTAAATGTTTCAGAAATTATCTTGCTGAAGGGATGATTTTCCCAATTGTCTATAGCCCAAAATGCTTCACCTAAAATTCCATTTTAATTATTTCTGTCTCATGATTTGAATGCTTATTAAAGTGCTAATACTCTATTATTAAATAATCTAGAAGTCAAAATCCAAATCCGGGTCACATTTATCATATGTTTTCTTCACTTATTTAAGTGACATGTTTTATTATATAATCTATTTGATAAATGTCAGAATCCATACAGATTTCCTCAAGTTCCCATGAACAGGGTCTGAATGAATAATAAGATTGTAACCAATAAGAATTAAATGTGGAAAGTCAACCTCCCAGAACTCGCTTGCCCCATCCTCCTTCAGACTCCTGATGTTCTTTGCCACCAGATATATCTTTGGAAAGAGCACATGAAGGGATGTGTTGCTATAGTTTATTTGTTGCTATCTGTAAGGTAAGTATAGGAGGTAAAAATACTTTTGAGTTAGTCTTTTCATTATGTTACATACTGCATTGTCTACTGTTATGGTTCTAAATTAGAAGGTCCATCTTTTTCTCTGAACCCTAAAATCCCACTTGTTTCCAATGGGCTGCCACGTGTATCCCAGGTATCTATTTTCTTATTGTACTTGTTGCAAGTCTCTGTCATCCTACCTTCCTGTGAGGAAAGATGCTGCTGAACTTCTTCACATCCATCCCTTAAAGCATTCATTGAAAATCTTAATGTGCTACTTCTTTCAAGGATATTGTAGTTTAATACATTTTTACTGAACATCTAAAAATTGAATTTTAGATGTAAAACCAAATATATTTGCAGGATAGGAAGTTCTTTCCAGCATTGAGAGAAATCTTCCACGTATCCAACTTTTAAACCGGACCTTATTTTTGAAAACATCTCGTGTAAAAAGATATATAAAGTTTTTCTTATGTATCATAAATATGTTTAACAACTAATGTTGTGAAAATGTGTTGAACCTGTCTAACCTTTACGTTAGCTATGCCTTTTTGCCCTTAAAATGTGGTGTTTGGAACAATAAAATGTTATCTGATTCTCTCTCTTTTTCCTCACTGTTATTTATTTACTTATTTTTTTGCTTGCCAGAGGGCACTATTTTTAAAGATGTTTGCAAGAAAAAAGAGCTTGTACCTGAACTACGAATAGCCAAGTATTAACAGCCTTCTTCATGGAAATTCTTTATTTAGTATGGAAAAATATATCCATTCCAACTTGATCAAAATAGATATATTCATCCAGTTATTCATATAAAGAACACTATGTAGTATAGCAATAAATAGTTCATAAAATATATTTTTATTATGAACTATATTCATAAAATAATTTTATCCTCGTGTATACCATTTTTTCACAATAATTTATTGATACTTAGCTTGTTATATGTCCAACTAACTTCTATTTATTAAAAAAAAACCTGGAATATCTAGAATATATGAACTCTTAAAACTCAACACAACAAATCCAGTTAAAAAGTTGATAAAAGACATTTCACCAAAGAGGAGATATGATTGGCAAATAAACTCATGATAAGACAGATTTTCAGTATCATTACTTATTAGGAAAATGCAAATTAAAGCCACAATGAGATATCACTATGCATCTACTAGGACAGATAAAATAATAATGTTGAAAATGGTGAGAATACCAAATGATGGCAAAGATGCAGAAAGACTGGTTTTCTCATACATTTCTAGTGGGACTATAAAAGGGTATAGCCACATTGGAAAATAGTTTGTTAATCTTTTATAAAAACAGTATGATTCAGCAATTATACTCTAGGGTATTTATCATAGAGAATTGATAACTTGTGTTCATGCAAACATCTGTATATAAATGGTAATAGCAGATTTATTAGAAATAACAAAAAAAACTGAAAACAATCCAAATTTTTTTATGATTAAACAAATTCTGGTACACCTATATAAGGGAACACTACTTGGCAATGAAAGAAGAATGAATTACTAATATATGCAACAACTCTGATGAACCTCACAGTCATTATGCATTGTGTTTCTCAAAATGACATAGCTATGGAGATGAAGAATGATTAGTGTTGAGGGGAGGCATGGAGGGCAAATACAAGGAGAAGGCAAGACGAAGTTCCTTTGTGGTGATGGGATTGCTCTGTATCTTGTTTCTGGTGGTGTTTATAGGAATCTGGACATGGGATTAAATTGCATAGAACTACATACAAGAAGGTGTAAAAAAATGTTAAATTTGAATATTGTCTGTAGTCTTGTTAACAGCATTGTACCAATGTCAGTTTCCAGGTTTGATATTAAACTACAGTTATATAAGATGCCAACAATGGCGAAAGCTAGGGGAAGGCTACTTGGAACTGTGTATGGTTTTTGCAACTTCCCGTGAGTCTATATTATTTTTAATTAAGCTCAAATAGTCATGGAAATGTGTTCTGCATAAAAATAATGCATATATAAAGCTAAATAAATAAGAAGGAAATATATAATAAGCTGGATCAGCAGTATGGTTCCTGTGACCAAAGATGTCAATGATGTTACAATGCATCAGCCATTTTACTTGTTTCCATAATCCATAGGGTTAAATAATCTGTGTAATACTCCTTGTAAACGTAAATTTGAAGTGAATAAGTTTTATATGGTTATTAAAAAGAACATATTTTTTATAAAATTTAATTGCTAAATATTTCATTTTAGTCCCTAAGGATCCACCTAACAACATGACATTTCAGAAGATACCAGATGAAGTGACAAAATTTCAGTTAACATTCCTTCCTCCTTCTCAACCCAATGGAAATATCCAAGTATATCAAGCTTTGGTTTACCGAGAAGATGACCCTACTGCTGTCCAGATTCACAACCTCAGCATTATCCAGAAAACGGACACATCCGTCATCGCAATGTTAGAAGGACTGAAAGGTGGACATACATACAATATCAGTGTAAGCATTCATAGCTTTTAGTTACTTGCCTATTTTACAAAGTCAGTTGTCAAACTCAGCATTCAAAGATACTTCAGCTTATGTACACACTACATTTTTTCACATATTTTGGGGGGATTGTTTAAGACATGCCCACAGAAAATAGATTTAGAGAAGTGAAATTGTTGATATCCTATTATAATACACCAAGTCCTATGAAAATATGTAGGTAATTAAAACCTTTGTACAAACAATAATGCCATTAACTCTAATAGCATTATTGTTTAGAAATAATTTATTCCCCTTCCATTCTATGGCTTATACATATATCTATGCCATTGACTTTGATTTTGGCCACATGATGTGCTTTGGCCAATGACATGTGCCACATCTATGGAGAAGCATTACAAGTTTGTGTCAGCTCTCTCCTTCTTCCTCTCTGTCTCAAGAAAAGATATTCCGAGCAGAGTCTGCTCCTTCAGTCTGGGTCTAGGAATGGGAAAATATCAAGTAAGGTTAAGCCATGTCAGCCAACCCACAGTTGTGCATGTACTGTAAATAAGAAAAAAATGTGCACTATTGTAAGCCAAAAGTAAACACCAAAATACAGCAACATTTGTATTATTGTTAGAAATGCAGAAATAAAATAAAGGATAAAGGAAATGCATGCTAAAAGTAAAAGAGTGGTGGTAGATAAAGAGATGATTCTGCCAAATGGAAAACTGTTAATGTGTGATTATAAATGAAACATGGAAACGCAAATTTCAAAGGCAAAGAGCAGAAATAATTATTTACGTGATTGAAATTCACATATATTTCACATAACTATTACTAAAAGCTAATAACATTTTACATCTTCATTCTAAATTATCCATTTTGGAAAGTAAGTGTATATGTGAGTTCATATTGCATATATACAGGCCATGAACAATTTGTTTCATCATTTGATGATTTTTATAGCATGTCTTGCAATTTTCAAATAGAATTATCTGATTCAGATAATTCATATTTCAAGCAACATAGAATTCATCCTAAACCTTAGCTTATTAACTAATCCTCCTAGTAACTCTTTATAATCATCAGAATACTACCATGTGTGTATGTATTCCCTCATTAACTTTATATCTTACTAGGTAATATGTCTTGCTAGGATTCTTGTTGTACATACCATTGTGAATACCTTTGTGAAAGATCTATTAGAGGGAGAGTGGTGGTTAAGAGAATGAACTGACCTTGGTTCAAATACTCACTTTGCTATTTTCTGTGTCTGGTCAGTTTCTGCAAATCTATCTTAGTTTTCTTATCTGAAAAATTAGTAGTAGGATTAATAACTTCTTTATAAGAATATTGTGAGTATTAATGATTTGTAGTTATGGTAAATAGTGAGTATGCTATCAGTTTTGCCTATTGTGAATATGAGAAAAAATAGGAAATAAATCACAACTAATTCATAATTTAAAGAACAAGAAATAAGTTCTCTGATTGTTCACAAAGTGGAATTTACAGCAACCTCAACTCCTGAGAGGTTATTAGAAATGTATAACTTTAGCACCTGTTCCCATCTGCTGCATGAAAATCTGCATATCTTCATTTACCAGGGTTTCCAAGTGACCTTTTTCCACAATGCAATTGAAAAGCACTGTCCAATTCATCATTTACTATGTCACTTAAATGTTAGCTTGCACCATAAAGAAATAAAAATAAGGAAGCAGACCATAATATCATTTTTGTTGTGGATACTTTCTTAAATTTACAAACTTCAATAAGTATTTTCTTTAGCTATTTTTAACCATGTTTTCGGGGCTTGGATTATTCACCATAACTAGCACATCATACATATCATTACAGTTTTAATTCAATCAAAGTATATATAGTGTGGAGTGTGGGTCACTAATATATAAACAAATTTATTAACGTCAATAAACATTATACTCTGAATTTCATTTATCAAGTACGATAAACTGGGCGAGAACATGGTCTTTGTTTTATATAGCAATATAATATGGATAGAAGAAAATTCTGTGTCTGCAGTTTCCAAAGCAAAAAGTTAATTGAAAGGATTCACATCTGTGTAAATCACCCTCTATATATACAAACAGAAATGCTTTATGTGTATATGCTGCATTATGCAGGTTATAGCGTCAGATACTTTGGGGCAGGGGTGAAGAAGGGCATAAGGGCAACTTTCAGAGGGATGATTTAATACAGGAAAACTGGGAGGCTGGAGGAATAGGATTTCATCTCAGAGAAGGGAAAAAAGAGGATCTTGAATATGGATTTACAGAAAGCCAGTTACCTAGCTACAGAGAAGAGGAAAAGATGTTAGATTAGACGAAGAGAGCAAATAGAGTCTTTTCTATTCCTCCTACAGGTTCCAATTGAAGCCACAGTCTTTTCCTAGTCTCTGTGATTGGTCTGTTTTGGTCAATCAGCCTTTGTTCTCAGGGCTTACTAGTAACACAAGATCAGTTTTAAGAATTACTTTGTTGTTAATATTCTTCCTCCATATATAACTCACATTTAAGGGAGTGCAAGAAATATATAGTTAATAGATTATATGCAATTGCTTTTAAAAGTAGAATCATTTTAAAATTACATATAACCATAATCAGTTATATGTACATGTAAGCAATAATTTGAAAATAGTAACAAGATGTTTCTTTGTTTTAGGTTTATGCAATCAATAGTGCTGGTGCAGGACCAAAGGTTCAGATGAGAATAACTATGGATATTAAAGGTATATACACAAACTCCCATTCATTCCACAAATGCTGCTCTCTTAATCAAGCAGTAATAGAACTTGAATTCTGTATTAGAATTAAGGATGGAGTCAAGCTTGTAATGATGCATGTGCATTTAATAAGCATATCTAAGTAATAATATATGCTTGTTAAAGCTATAATTAAAATGCCCAAATAATGATGCAAATTACCATCCTATATAATAAAAGGCTAATATACAAATTGTCCCCTCAGGAGTTCGACCACTCGCTATGACGTTCACTGACCACCAGGGGGCGGCATAGAGTGAAGGAAGGACCTGGCCAGAGGGGAGGGGAGGAGGAGGAAGGCCTCGATTGGCCCTGATCATTGGCCAGGCCTAGGGACCCTACCCATGCATGAATTTTGTGCACCGGGCCTCTACGGTTAAATAAAGAGAATGCCCACCTGTTATTTTTTCTTATATTTCCTTTCCTATAACTTTAAACTCTTCTGAGACAAATTTTATAGTCCATTATTTTGTTTTTAAATTTTATTGAAAACGAAACTTATTCTTTAAATTACCCATGACTAGAAGTTGACTAGTTTTAACTAGATTCCTCAATGCCTTTTATTTATATTGAAAGTTGAATTCTTTACAGTTAATTAAATAGTGTTTACTGAACAACCATGTATTCAGCTTTATGATTCTAACTCTAAATATTCTGATCTATCAATTTATTAATCTTACAGGTAGTTTTCATTGAAAATATAACTAAAATTTGGAGCCTCTCGCCCGCCAAATCCATAAAAACTAAAAAAGATTTTTACGAGGAATTTAGGGTCATTCAGTCATCAGGGTGCCTTCTATTCCTGAGACTGAAAACCTGCATGTAGCTGTGCCATCTCTCTAAAAAGCTATGTAAAACCTGCAGAGCTAAAAACAAACAAACAAAACAAGTATATGGACCTTTAGTAGAATTCCACCTCCTTGTTGCTTCCCTCTTTAGAGCAAAAAGTAAGGACACCAGAGCACAGCGATTCTCAGTCTTTGGCAAGGACACCAAGCACAATGATTAAAAGCAGGCTCTAGGCTGAGTCTAAGGTCAGACTGCTGAGATTGAATCCGGGATTGGCCACTTGATATCTGTTTGACTTTGGGCAAGTTTCTTAACCTCTATAAGCCTGGATAGTGGAGATAATACTAGTTCCTACTGCATACATTGTTGTGAGGATTAAAAGAGATAATCTTTGAAAAAACGCTTAGGACAGTGCCCTACTAGAGAATGAGAAACATTCACTGTAAGGTGAAGCTGATAAATATTATCTTTTCATCAATGGGTATTTTAATACTGTATATAAATATTAATTATTTGCTTTTAATTGATAAATTATATGCTTAGGAAATACAAATACAAAGTCTTAAAAAATCAGCAATTTGAAAAAATGACTTCATAAAGCAGAGCTTACATCAATTCATCTTAATGTCTGTTATTTGTTGGCAGACATGTAGATATGCACTTAACAATATTGATTCTTTAGTAAAAAAATTCCCATTTCAGATGCTTTGGTCATCCCAGGTAAAGAAGACTCATTCTGATTTTCTTCTCGTTAGATAGGGCAGACAGACTCAGGACCAGTTATCTAGAGAAGATATAAATATATATACTGGAGGCAGTGGTGGGGTCCTAGAGAAATTAATTTTTCTTCAGTAATATGAATGATTTTGTTAGTAACATGGAGTGATATTGAATTAATGGTAGTCTCATTAAGTTTGCATTTAACAGATAATGTCAGGTTGGATAGTCATGTCCAGTGCAAGATTCTTCTAACTGGAAACCTTTTCTTGGGAATTCCTCAGTGGCCTAGAGCTTCTCAGAACTCCCTGAAACTGGAGGCTCTTCCTGCTGAATTCTTTCTTCCTCCTCCCCTTTCTCAGGTGTCTCCCTACCTGTGCTCTGTGGTCTAAGGCTCTCACCATCTCCTCTTGCTCACTTTATCTTTACTCTTCACAGATATTTTCCCCAATAAGCTTGCTACTCATCTAATATCATAGGCTTTATATCTCAGAGGAATGAGCTAAAGGATCAAGTAAAAAGATTTGGTTCTCTTTTATAGCTATGTGATATAAGGCCATCTCCTCATGTGCAAAATTGAAATAATATTGTCAATTTTATAGCATTATTGAGAGGCCTTTTAACAAGATTAAATAAAGATAGAAAATGAAATTTGATTAAGCAACTCATTGTTGCTCAAACAATCTATAATAATAAAAGTATAATGTGCTAATTAGACCAGACAGCCAAAGGACCTTCTGGATGTCCTTCCAGATGAAGCCATGGTGGTTGGGGCTGAGGCAGAGGTGGTTAGGGGAGATCAGGCAGGCAGGAAAGCAGTTAGGGGTGATCAGGCAGGCAGATGAGTCGTTAGGGGTGATGAGGCAGGCAGGCAGAGTGGTTAGGGGCAATGAGGCAGGCAGGAAGGCAAGTGGTTAGGAGCCAGCAGTCCCGGTTTGCAAGAGGGATGTCCGACTGCCGGTTTAGGCCGGGTCCCACATCTCCTGAGGGGTCCCGGATTGTGAGAGGGTGCAGGCCGGGCTGAGGGACCCTCACCCCCCAACCCCCGTGTATGAATTTTGTGCACCAGGCCTCTAGTTGTTATATATAGCTATGAGATGAAATTAATTAAACAAACAGAGCTTCTATAAATATTGATTTGGGAGATATGTGTATGCACTGATGGTAATATGTGAATTATCAGGGCACTTTTAGAAATTATTCTGGCAATATCTATTAAAAGTTAAAAATACATATATCTTTTGTTCCAGAAATTCTGCTCTTGGAAATCTATTCCACAGAAATAAAAGGATGTTTGGCATGGATAAACTGGGTGAAAGGGAGGTGCTAGTATGACTAGAATAGAAATTGGAAAACTAGCTAAAATAAGTAAAATAAGAAGAAAAAACACTAAGATAATAGTATGATTTAATGCACTTATGAAAATTATATTTGAGTGAGAGCATATATAATTTGAATTTATTTAATATGTAAAGATAAGTCAGATGTCCAAAAATTATACCTGAGTCCCATTATTTCAGGTTAAGTCTCAAATATATAATTATACCACCAGGAGATAATAATTGTTTAATATTTGCTGTATCAAAATAAGACTATTTCATTTGTTCTTTATGTTTGTCATCACGTTATCTGTAAATTACCTGCCTGAAAAAAAATTTAAATGCTTATTTCTCCTCTTCAGAAACAAAAAATCAATTATGATACTTCTTTGTTTATAGCTCCAGCACGACCAAAAACCAAACCAACCCCTATTTATGATGCCACAGGAAAATTGCTGGTGACTTCAACAACAATTACCATCAGAATGCCAATATGTTACTATAACGATGATCATGGGCCCATCAAAAATGTACAAGTGCTTGTAGCAGAAGCTGGAGGTATCATTATATATTAACTTATCCTATTAATTTATAAAGTATGAATTGCTGAATGGTATAGAAATTTCAGTTCAAAACTAGTAATTTAAATTGACTCCTGATTAGCACATACATCTTGACCTTAATATATTGTCAATATTATCATTAATTATACAAAACACTTATGCTAACATTTTTATAGAAATAAGAGAAGGCATAGTTAAAATATGTGATTTATTTATTCCATATGCTAGTAGGATTACTTTGACTCTGACAAGATGGATTATTGGTAACTTCTTTGGAGATGTGAACATTACAGTTACTCTTGACTGAGGGATTTTTTTTTCTCTAGATGCTTATCCAGGTAAATCAGCTGAATCATCCCTGGTGGTTCATAGAGTGAAAGATACTTCATCCAGAATTTCTTCATGCAATTATAAAAACCATTTATAAATTTGAAAATAATGTATATGTTATTTGTAATCATCATTCTTTTTTTCTGAAAATAGCTCAGCATGATGGAAATGTAACAAAGTGGTATGATGCATATTTTAATAAACCAAGGCCATACTTTACAAATGAAGGCTTTCCTAATCCTCCGTGTACAGAAGGAAAGACAAAGTTCAGTAGCAATGAAGAAATCTACATCATAGGTGCTGATCATGCATGTATGATTCCTGGCAATGAAGACAAAATTTGCAATGGACCTCTGAAGCCAAAAAAGCAATACTTGTATGTATAGTTTATACCTACCATGCATTGTGTTAGCAAGCTGGTTGATATCTTTCATTCCTCCATCCACCCATCCTTTTATTTTTTCAATAAGCACTGGGCATCCATCTTGTATTGTGACTAGATTTTTAAAAATATTTTTTAAAAATATGTTTTCGTTGACTTGAAAGAGAGGAAAGGAGAGAGAAAGAGAAAGAGAAATATCGATCAGCTGCCTCCTGCACGTATCCCACTAGGGATTGAGCCCACAACCCTGGGCATGTGCCCTGACAGGGAATTTAACCAGCAACCTCTCGGTGCATGAGACAGCCCTCAGACCACTGAACCACACTGGCCAGGGCTGACCAGAATTTTTAGGCTTCAGGAATGTAAAGACCAACAAAGGCCGAAACCGGTTTGGCTCAGTGGATAGAGCGTCGGCCTGCGGACTGAAGGGTCCCGGGTTCGGTTCCGGTCAGGGGCATGTACCTGGGTTGTGGATTGACCTCATATTCCACAGACATATAGTTCTATAGGAAAAGCAGACAAACCTAAGTGTAATTATGATTTGATCTTTTGATCTGATAAATAACATAAGGTCAATATGAAAAATGTGCCCTTGGATAGGAGAATTTAATTCTTTCTGTAGAGCACAATGTGACCAATATAATATTTTGTGTTTTTCACTCATTATTTGCCTTGCATGTTCATGTGCAGGTGTTTAGGAACACTATCACAGTCTTTTGGTTAATGATAGCTTCGATTTACCTTGTTCATAGCAATACTTTTATCCTCTATATACCATCAAACATCATATTTAGTGATTGAAATCTTTACAACTCACTTTAATATTTGGCATTTTGTAGATCCAACTGAATATCATATTAAAAATCTCTTTACAAATGAAATCAATTTTTTATTTTTCATTAATTTTTGTAAATGGTATTAGGTAGGGTCCAACTCCATTCCTTGGTCAGTGAATATCCAGTTTTCTCGACACCATCTGTTGAAAAGACTGTTTTCATCTCTGGCTTTGTTAATTTCTTTGCTAAATTGATTTTTCCTACTAAATTAACTATTATTTCTGTGTCACAAGATGACAGATTTTTAAAAATCTTGAATTATTTTATTTTCAAAATATATTTTTTTTTACTAGTAAATTTGAAAAATGTAGCTAGTCTCATCTTGTCAACTAACTAAAGCATTATTAAATTCTTTATAAGTGTCTTAGGCCAAATTAGCATTGGAAAAATTAGAGAAGGTAGGCAAATTTTTTAAAAATGCTATATCATCTATTATGAATTACAGTTACTGTGGTTACAAGGTTATTGCCTAAAATATAATCATTATACATATGATAGTTATGAAAATGGTATATCACAAAGTTTAATACTTATTCAAGTATTTTCATTTTGCGTATTTTTTCCAAAACAGACTCCTCATATAATCAATACAATAATAAGAAACTGAGAATAGTAGAGATTAATTTATGCATTGCAATTTATTAATGTAAATTGATTTTATGTTTTTAAATGCCTGGATGTCTATAGTTTTTAAATAAGGTGTTTTGGTTGTCTTTGTGAATATTAGAATCATAGAATGATTTTTAAGATTGATTCTCTTCTGTACCTATTTTCCATTTCAGATGTCATAAAAACATAGGAAGTAAAAATATAGCTGTGCATACATAGATTTAAGAAACATTTTCTTAATTGCATACATATGAACAAGATAAGTTCTATATGACAATTCTAAATCTGGTTCACTGGTATTTTCAAAGGTCGACAAGGTATAACAGTTTTTATGATTTATAGTTTAAAAGTCTGTTTGTGCAACACACTTTCACAGACTACATTATTTCATCCAAACAAATCTGTGAAGGAGGTAGGTAATCTGCTTCAGTTGAGCTGCTGACTGCTTACGAGTCTGCCCAGATTCTTAGTCACTCTCTCATGAAGTTCATGAGGTCCATTTCTAGGGTAATTATTCATCTCACATAAAGATAGTATCTATTTGTCTGGATGGTCATTTAATTTCAAGTCTACATCTTGTAAATTTGCTTTATCTTAAATAAAAATGTTTATTTTAATAGCTATTTGCTAAATTATTCATAAAAAAAACATATGGCATGCAAATTGCTAGTTTTAAATTTTTTTTTCTATTTTATAGATTTAAATTTAGAGCCACAAATGTCATGGGACAATTTACTGACTCTGATTACTCTGACCCTGTTAAGACTTTAGGTAAGACATATTTTGTAGTTTACTTTCAATTCTCAACATGCTAATTACAGTGCAACATTCATTAGTAAATGTAATAATCCACAACTGAATGTTCTCAAGTATAAATTCATTTCAAGGTTAACTAACCTGATTAAGGAAAAATAGTATATTATAATATTCTATTAATAGATGGGAGTTGCATCCATTTGAATCTGGATCTAGATTTTGAAATGGTACTGGTTCTATGCTGATGTGCACTAACATTATACCAAGCAAATATTTAATTAGCTGTTTAATATACAATCTTACAGCAGAAGATATTTACCTAATACAAAGGAAAAGGCTTATGGCAATTATTCTGAAATAATCCTAAAAAAACTAGACGTTTACCTGTCCTCTTTAATTTTTCTTTTTTTCTAATCAGCTCTTTCATGTTTTCTTATTAATTATATGCCCTCAATTAGGCCTGAATAAAATACAAATACAATTTAGTCAAATGCAAGTATATTTCTTCCTCCTCCTCCTCCTCCTCCTCCTCCTCCTCCTCCTCCTCTTCTTAGTCATCACCATCATCTAACATTAAATATTCTATACCAGACACACTTTCAGGTTCTTTGTATGTGTTAACTGATGAACTCTTCACAACTATCCTTTACTTTAGATCAGTGGTTCCCAATCAAAGTGATTTTACCCTCCAGGGACATTTGAGAATGTTTGGGGCCATTTTTGGTTGTCACAACCATGGGGGATGAGCTATGGGCATCTACTGGGCAGAAACAAAGGATACTGCTGGACATGCCACAGTGCATAGGACAGCCCCTCTCAGCAAAGAATTATCTGGCCCATAATGTCAGAGACCCTGTCAGGGGATAACGTTACCTCCATTTTAATGATGAGAAAACCAAGGTTCATATTAAGTAATTAAGTGGCTGGGTCAGGATTCTAGCACAGATTTGATAGCAATTACACCCCAAATAGAGGATTTACACCTGCATTCAAATTTTGGCTCCTCCACTTGAGAAAATAATTTCTATAAGCTTCAGTTTCCTTATTTGGAAAATGGTGATGAGAGTATTCCCTTGAAAGATTTACATAAAGCAACATATGTAAAGACATTAATATTTTATAGTTAGAAAAAATTTAAATGCTTAATAGCTTATTTTGGGGTAGGCTATACCCAAAAACTTTAGAAATATACTCCCTTAGGAGAAATTATATCCCCAGAATTTTTTGAGTGGATCACAACTTCCAATTTGCACCAAGCTTTGAGAATGTGGAACTTTGTATGTTGCTCAGATACACAGCATATCGTGAGCTGCAACAGATTTCAGTAAGAGTTGAAGCTGGATGCAGATAATTGTTCTACCATTTTCAGTTAGAAATTCTCACCAGGTTTTTAAACATTAATTGTATAGAAATCCAGCTTCTGCAGGCTCCACTTAGTTAATAAAACTTTGGACCTTGAAGAAATAAAGAAGGGGCATGTGACTAGCTACATGGATGTTGATAGAGGAATAACAAATTTCTTTGACTATTCTCCCTAATTTCATAAAATCACTGGTTTGATTAACTGTACACAATATATTAATCATTTTAAAACTAGCTGATGAGACTTGGGATATTGAAATTGTGTGGAGTGTTTCTTCATTTGATAGGTGATTTTTATCACACAATGATACAACCGCAGTAAATGCCTTGAAGGCACTAACATAATTTCCTCGAGATTATGGCATTCAGAGACTATCGCCTCCACTAACTAATGACCCTGGTGTGTTTACTGATGGAAGAAAAGAGTCAAAGACAAAGTGAATAGCTAGCAATGCTGAAAAGAGACCTCCTTGCTGTGCTGTGCCTCTCATAGCTTGTTGGTTTCATACAGATTTATTTGTTTTAATTTATTTTTGTTTTTTATCTTTTTTCTTTTATTTTTTACTTATTGTTGACAGTATTACAGATGTCCCCCATTTCTCCCCATTTACCCACCTCCCCCAGCCCCATCCCCGCTCCCTCTGGCCATCACCACACTGTTGTCTGTGTCTCTGGGCTATGCTTTGGCTAATCTCTTCACCTTCTTTTATCTAGTGCCCCCCTCCCCTCTGAGCTCTGTCAGTCTGTTCCATGTATGCATCCATGCCTCTGGTTCTATTTTGTTCATCAGTTTATTTTGCTCATTAGATTCCACATATAAGTGAGATCATGTGCTATTTGTCTTTGTTACTGATGTGAGGACATCATATTCAGTTAGTTATCCGAGAGGCAAAGTTGAGATATTCAGGGGAATAGGAATGAGCATGAAAAGCCATAAAAAAGGGGATACCCGAGTATCAGGGACCATGCTTATCTTCTTTTTCTTCCTTTCTCTCACAGACTAGGGAGAATACAATAATTAACTCTAGAAAGTAACAGTAATACACAGTCAGTTCTTGGTTCCTTTTTGGAATCATAACTACTATCACCCTAGTCATCCACGTACTAATGCTTATGTGCCCTGGTAACCACAGGAGTCTGGAAGGGATGTTAAGATGTGGAGCTAAGGGCAGAGCACAGGATCCTGCCAAGGCCAGGGAGGAAGGGGCTGGTGAAACACAGACTGGATGCAGTAGGTAGAAAGGCACTGGGTTGGTAAGGGGAAGTGACAGCGAAGGGTTTCATGTGTCTATGATTACATTCTCAGAGTTCATATATCATTTGTAAGCCGATGGCAGAAGGATAGCCTTTCAGGCTCCTCCTTAGAGTGGTCTTCCATGGGATCGCTTCTGACATATAGCAGCTTTGTAGTAAATGGGCTTTGCTCTGTAATGCTTTGGATTGGTCGTGTGGAGTTCTGCTCTCTAGTCATTTACAGATAGTTAAACAGTGACGGGCAGGAGTAGAGGAAATTACAAGGAGTGAAAACCTCAGTTGTGAAATGAGATGTTCAGATCTGGCGTATGAAGTGTACCAGTAGAGTAGACTTCCTTGATGACTAGCAAAGCATTGCAGTCACTTTGCTAGTTAATGGAGTTAACAACATCACTTTCTGCCCTCCAATCAGTTTTCTACCTGGCTATTGGATGTTATGATTCTGTAGAGATCAGATTTGCTGATAAGCCAGGCACCAAAGAGCTCCACCAGAAATGGCCCTGGTCCATGATTTGACATTAATAAAAGGCCAGTGAGTCATGCAACTTTTCAGAAAAAGAACATTGCCAAGGAAGTTATAGTAGAACTCAAAAAAGAAATAACATTGACCATTTCTACAATAGTCAATGGCAAAAATGGCTGTCAGATTGTAGGCAAGCAAATAATAAAATGCATTAATATAATATCCCTAATGTCACCATAAGGTTACAAAAGATGTTTGAGTCCCTTTTTCTCTCAAATATGTCATGTATCGGGATATATAATAGCATTTGCAATGGGCTAGTGACTCTCAACATTCTTAACAAGCCTACTAAATACTTCTGCATATCTGTGATCCCAGACTTCAGTGAAAGAAATATAGGTCCCATTTAGGTCATCAAACCACCAGTAGATATATGTTCATTCACTGGCATTTCACAAACCACAGACAGTGAGTTCTGAGCTGCATTGTCTATCAGTAAAATCTTCAGGATTTAAGAGCCTTTGTAAGGCTGTGTTTCTAAGTTTGTTCAGGGCATATTATTCCAAGGCAGGACATTTTGATAGTGGTTGTGACTCTCAGAAACATTATCATTCAGAAGTTAAAATTATGAACAAAAGAATCACCATAGACTGATAGACTAAAAGTTTTTTAGTGAAAGAGGCTGACAGTAGTGCAAGTGAGAAGAATCAGGCAGAGCTGGGCTGGATAAGGATGAGTGGGTCTAAAAGGAATTTGCTAGGGAAATCATTATGGCCTGGAAGAATAAACATGGGAAATGACATGCACCATTATTTTAATCTTGAAAAAATTCTTATAATTTATTTGATTTTTTTTCACTCAGGATTAAGCATTAGCATTTTTATTAACAAAATTTACAAGAACTCCTCTTAAACCCTTTTTAGAAATCCTCTATAGGCACATCAGTTTATGGAAACTGCTGGTAGGCAATGTTTTGATTGCAAGGTTTAATTATAGAGAGTTTCTGTGATTTGAAAACCACACACTCCTTTCTGCACCTTACAAGGCTTCATTAAGGCTGAATAAGATGAAATCTTAAACCCCATGGCAAAGGCACCATGTGACTGTTTTCTTCTGTCATAACACCTCTCCTTTAATTACTAAGCTAACAGTGAAACGTTCCAATATGCTCACTGAGAAACAGGGTCTCTATGTATTTTTGCAGAAAAAGAATCACTTTCCCCAAAACACCAGAGATATAGGGGAGATTTTTATTACGTTAAAGAGACAGTGGTAATGTGGGGGTGAACCTCATAACTTTGTGGCTAGTCAGGCATATTTCAGGCACTTTGGCATATATCGAATTTATGTGACGGGTTAATTACTTTAAAAAGTAACTTCTGAAATCTCATTTCCAAAATGAGAATAATAATACTCATCTCACAAAATAATTGGGGAAGTAAATCTGATGAATAAATGAATGAATGTGATAAATGTTTATTAATAAAAATACTAAACATTATTTATGTATCAAGATTTTTCTTATTGTTTTTATATATGAACTACTGTATTCTTCACAACCCTATAACATGGTCTCCGACAAATAGATATTGACTATTTATTGGTAAAAAGTATGAAACTGGCTCTTTAAGAAACTTGCCCAAGACTATTGAGCTAGGAAGTTACAGCACCAGCTTTTAGACCCAGGCAGTGTGACTCCAGTCAGTGCTCTGCTTGTAATCACTGTTACCACGTTGCCTGAAAATCGTTAAGTGCCCCAGGAGCTTTCAATTTCACTACTATTGGTGATGTTTCTGCTCTCACAGACTTCCTATTCTTGCTGTAACATTTTCTTTTCTTAACATTTTAAATGATTTCTAGCTGTTCTCTTTTCATCTTCTTGTCTTAGCTTTTGAAGTTAACATTCACACATGAGTATGCTTTATTCTTACACATA